GAATTTTTTATAGTGACCACCTTCTTAGTGAAGTTCTGTGATCTGGTTTACTGTTGCTAGTTGTTATGAAAGAGGCATTAAACCTAACACATAATGTGATCTATGTAGTCACTAACTCACTAGGTTATAATTTCTTTTATTAGTTCTTAGCATGACGCATAAGGTGCTATGCCTCCTTGCACACCTCGTGAGTGGTTTCCTCTGTTCTCTGTACTAGTTATGATTGCCCTAGTTTTAGCTGTGGGAATTTGTTGTCTCTGGACTTTCCTATGGTATCCTTGTTCTCCATAGGTGCGTTGAATCCTTACTTTGTAGTGCTTCGGGTTTTATCATTGATCTCCATTACTTCATCATGGAAAGTCTGACTATGATTGTTCGAGCGATCCTCTCATGTCGGCTCCTAATCGGGTAAAGATCCTCAATGATTTCTCTTGTTCTTTACTCCTCGATTGATCCCCTCTCGGAACCCTCCTTATAAATTCTTTCTTATTCCTCTTTAACTCTTCTGTTGACTGTTATAGTGGAGTGGCTATATCTATCTAGGTTGTTCGTGTGAGAATGAGAATGTCTAAAGAATCTTATGAGATTAAGTAAAACATTTCTTTTGAAGTTTTTGGTGATCCAAACTGGGTCCTCCTATAACCAAGCAGTGCAAACAAGTTGTATATAACCAAGATCAAATAGACTTTTGAATAAGTGATCCTACTCTAAAACCACAACCAAACAAGGAACAAGTAGTAGAACGAAGATCACAAATTCTAAGTCTATAAGATCCCAATTATATATAACACTGGAAGCATACACTTCGCAATTATAGACCTGCCACAGAAGAATCACCAACCAAGGTGAGAAGATGATTACGCTTAGACAGGCATGAAAATGGAGGACAAGGTAAAGAAGAAGAGGCATCAGAGCAACGAGCCTTCTGTTTTGACTTATAGAAACAAAAGAAAACCAACAGAACATAAAAGTAGAAATCGAAACAATGTGAAACAAAAACCGAGAAACATGAGCATGTAATAACAAAAATTGCATCAATAGAATAATACAGAAAAGTAATTGCAGAGAAAAAAAAACCCATACCTAAATAGGTTAACTGAAGAGAGAAAAATGAAGAATAAGCGGCACCAACTAAGGAAAATCGCAGGTCAGCATCCCAATAAGCTTTAGAGAGCAAGAAAACACTAGGTCATCATTCCACCATGTTTCTCGATTACCGAAGCATAGCCACCAATGAACCTCCTTCTTCAGGCGACGTGCATACAGAATTAGAGAAGTAAGGGCAAATAAGGGGAAAAACAAATCAATAAAGACATATAGTAGAGTAAATTACACGAATGGTCCCTATGGTTTGGAGTAATTTGCGCATTTGGTCCCTAACTTATTTTTTTAACTCGAAAGATCCCTACTATTTGATTTTGTTACGCATTTGGTCCTTACTGTTTGTTTTTATTACACGTTTGGTCTCTATCTTACCTAAAAAAATTATTATTTAAATAGAAAAAATTGGTCGGGTAGGTAAGATAATGTGAATGGGGTGGGGTTGGGGGTACATTTATTTAAATAAATTAAAAAATCAAAAGCAAAATAGTCTTTTTAGGTAAGACAGGGACCAAGAGCGTAACAAAAACAAACAGTAAAGACCTTCCGAGTTAAAAAAATAAGTTAGGGACTAAACGCATAAATTACACTAAACCATATGAACCATTCGTGTAATTTACTCCATATAGTAAAAAGGAGGAGGGTAACAGTTAAAATGAGAAGCAATTTATTTTTTACCGTACCTACTCTTTCTAAGGATATTGGGTTTTAATTATGTGTTTAATACACTAGGCAGTTATTTTTAGAAAAATTAAAATAATAATAACAATAAGTAGAATGTTTCGAGTCAAGCCAACATAATCTTACTGCTTTTGACTAAACTTGTTCTAACATGTTATGTTGTAATGTCAAGTATCCATAACTCTAACAACAAAATATGTACTGAAGCTAATATTAGGACATTGACTATGTTGGATCCATAAATTAAAGGAATGGTGCTACCGTTCTTTAGCCATATGCTGGGCAATTAATGGCCCCTGCATTGTGGACCCATAGACCGTAGTGGCATAGTGGGCAAATCGTCCATCTTAGGTGGCAACCGTGCACCATTTTCTAAGCTATTAGCATCCCCATCATTGGTTTTCTACCACAGCTTTTTATCTTATTTAATTATATATGTTTATTTATGTTATGCCCATTCTTCTTAATTTATTATGATTTAATACATAAGAAATAAGAAGTATTATTTTCTAAAAAAAAAAAGTAATAAAAAATGATGCCGATAGCCCGATACATCAACAGTAAGACCAACTGACCAACATTGAAAATGTTTTAAAACAATTAATATAAATTTCTTTGTTAGTTTAATACATATTCAATATGGTAAGTCGAAAGGCATAACAAAATTCTCAATATTTGGTTATTTAAAATTTTATTTTTAGTTTTATACAAGGCCAAAAGGTTTTGTCAAAGTTTTATTTTTACCCTCTATTTATAAATACTATTTTTACCATTTTTTTTTTTTAAAGATTTAATATAAAGTTTATAAATTAAATAAATAAATAAAGAGATGAGTTTCTAAGATATTTCAATCGAATGAGATCATTTAATGTTCTCATCTACCGGATTCCCACAACATTATTTCATTTGATCCCCGGCCATTTACTCTTCTAATTAACCTTCACCTTCCCCTTCCCCTTCCCCTTCCCCTTCCCCTTCCCTTTAATTACGGATACATCCTCTCCCTTTCACTTCAATCATCACTTCATTCCTCATCGTATTTCTCTTTAGATCATCTCCATACTTTATCTTCCTCACAATGCTGCAGTCTGCAAAAAGGTCCTATGCCTATCTCAGCAACTATGTCAAGCTTATCCTCATAGCCTTAATCATTACTATATGCATTCAAGAATTCATCAAGAAAGCCCCATACAACCTTCTGAATCATCATCATTCAGTCATCTACACACTAACTTTCTCTTTGTTAACCATCTCCATTCTCGCATTCTACTTCGTGAACAAGCCTCGAACAATCTACCTCGTTGACTTCGCTTGTTTCAAGCCTCCATCTATACTCCGTGTGCCATATGCCACTGCGCTTGAACACGGCCAAATCATCTTGGCCTCGCAACCTAAGAGCCTTAAATTCCAACTTATGATCTTAGAAAGATCGGGTTTGGGAGAGGAAACATGTTTACCACATCCATTACATTATCTCCCATCGAAGCCTAATATGATGGATGCGAGGGATGAGACCGAGTTGGTCATCTTCTCAGCCATGGACTCTTTGTTTCAGCAAACAGGGATTGATCCTAAAGACATCGATATTTTGATCGTAAACTGCAGCCTCTTTGCACCCACTCCTTCGATTTCAGCCATGGTGGTTAACAAGTATAAGCTGAGAAGTAACATCAAGAGTTATAACTTATCAGGAATGGGGTGTAGCGCGGGGTTGATATCGATAGATTTTGCGAAGAATCTTCTCCAAGTCCACCCTGAATCGTATGCGGTGGTGATAAGTACTGAGATTCTTTCCCCGAATTCGTACATGGGTGTAGAGAGATCCATGCTCCTTCCAAACTGTCTCTTCAGAATGGGAGGAGCAGCCATTCTGTTGACCAACCGAAGGTCACACCGGAGAGATGCGAAGTACGTACTCTTGCATGTGGTTAGGACCCACAAAGGGTCTGACGAGAAATCATATCGTTGTGTCTCACAAGAAGAAGATAAAGAGGGTCATGTCGGAATAGCGTTAAACCTAGATCTCATGGTGATCGCTGGGAATTCTTTGAAGTCGAACATAAGCACCATCGGGCCATTGGTTCTTCCAGCATCGGAGCAACTCTTGTTTCTTTTCAATTTCTTGGGGAGAAAGTTCCTTAAGCTTAATCTTAAACCCTACATTCCCGACTTCAAAAAGGCATTCGATCATTTCTGCATTCACGCAGGTGGACGTGCGGTTATTGATGAGCTTCAGAAGAGCCTTAGGCTGACGTCGGAGCATGTTGAAGCCTCAAGGATGACGTTGCATCGTTTCGGAAACACATCGTCTTCGTCGTTGTGGTATGAGTTAGGTTATATGGAAGCAAAAGGGAAAATGAAGAAAGGAGATAGAGTCTGGCAAATAGGGTTTGGGAGTGGGTTTAAATGCAATAGTGCAGTTTGGAAATGTAACAGAGAAATCGAAGCTACAAAATATAGTGCATGGGCTGATTGCATCCATAGGTACCCAGTAAACGAGCCAGAAGGTGGGAAGCTCTAAGCGAGGGTCAAGTATGTCTTTTCAATTTTAATGTGTGATATGTATGCCATTTCTTACCTTAAATAAAAAGGTTTCACGTGCTTCATATGTAATGCAAAAGACCAAGAAAAATCAACATATATTTTTTTTATTAATGGCATATATCTAAGTTATTCTCTAATATCATTACAAATGGAAGTGTATTTTTGTGTAGTCAAATTTTTTTTTGTTTTTTGTTTTTTTGTTTTGAAACAATATAACCCTGATCACCGCAAATAAAAGCCCGCAAATTTGCCGGAACAAGTTTTGTGACACGTAGCATTGCCAATAAATATTTGAGAGCACTTTAATACTCGCGAGAATAATTTAATATAATTTAATTGTCTCAACCAAATAAAAATCATGTGCACCTATTTAATTCGTAAGTAGAAATTATTAGCATGTTCCAGATGTTTCGTTTAACCATCCAGATGTAATTATTAAGAGACTTTTATTTATTTAAGGGAAACTATTCGCACAAAACAATTTTTTGCCATATATACAACAATGTATGTATTATAGAGTTGAACAGTACAATATTTTAAAGCATCAATTATTGTGTATGGAGAAAAATTATTGTGTACAAATCATCTCTTTTTATTTAAATACTAACGACCAATCAAAGAAGATACTAAACAATTTATATAACTAAAAGTCTACCCTATGCGATGGGAGACGGATGGACGGAGGTAAGGCACAGAAAAAACCAATAAATCATCGGAACGATTCCGACATAACAAGCTATTTCATCTCGAACATCCCCACTGTTATAACGAAAGAAGAGTTTAGGAGAATATTCAAGTCATTTGGGACGCTGTCGGATATCTACTTTGGAGGGAGAAAAAGAAAACATGGGAAGAACTGTGGCTTCGTTCGCTTTGAGGGAGTCACTGATAAGATGACACTGGAATCAAAACTGAACGGTACGATATGTAGGAATAATAAGCTGGAGATAAATATAGCGAGGCATGAAAGGACATAGCAAACGTTGCCACCCAGTGGGGGTGAGAAGAGCGAGTAGTACTCACGCGTTGATCCCAGTCAAAGTAGAGGAGGCTTCACGGGTGATAGATCATACGTAGAAGCTGTTAGAGGTGGCGACAAAGTCAAAATCCTCTTAAAGACTTTACCACCCAATCTTACGCCTGTTCGTCTAGTCACCAATGAAAAGATGGTGCGATGGATTAACAAGTTTACTCTCATCGGTGAGGTGAAATCGTTAGACCATCTCTGACATCTTATGGCATTGCTTTCTATCCATTGTGACACTGATATGAAGGTCAAATATCCAAGAGGTATGAAGGTCATTCTCGAATTTGGATCATCGGCTAAAGCTAAAGATTTTTTGAAGAACGAAAAAAACTGGAAGTGTATATTCAACTTTATTAAGCTTGGTTAAGAGATTGATTACAAATTTGAATGTGTTGTAAGTGCAAGAATTGTTGGATTGCCTATTAAATTATGGAGTGAATCAAATTTCTCTGCCATTGTTGAGAAGTTTGGGAAGATAATTATACTGTTTGATCACATCGCGGAAAGATTGGATCTCTCAGTCGTAAAAATTGGCATCCTTATAGAAGAAAAGAAAAAGATCAACGAAGTCATTAGGGTTGAAGTTGGGGCGGAAATCTTTGATGTTGGGGTGGTTGGGTACGAAGATGAACTGTGGTTTCCCTTCAAGTTCGAAGATGGCGATCAACCGTACCAATCTGAACCTGATGATAATTCTGATGGGGGAAACGGAAGTAGCGGAATCTAACAAAGAAGATGTCGTGGATGGTTCTGAAGAAGATGAAGAGGGTATTTCAGATACGTGGTGTAACACCCCCCTCTGGCACGTATCACAATATTGTCCGCTTTGGGCCACTCGGCACGAGGACTTCCCAGTGGGTCACCCATCCCGGTACTACTCCCGCCCGAGCACGCTTAACTGCAGAGTTCTTATGGGATCTGCTGCCCTCACGTCTTTAAAACGCGTTGTGATAGGGAAGGTATCCACACCCCTTATAAGGAATGCTTAGTTCTCCTTCCCAGCCGATGTAGGTTCAGGTGCAACCCACCTTCACCACCCATTATAGGGTTCGACGTCCCTGTCGAACACATCGACCCGTGCCCTAGCTCTGATACCATTTGTGACATCCCCCTCTGGCACGTATCACAATATTGTCCGCTTTGGGCCACTCGGCACGAGGACTTCCCAGGGGGTCACCCATCCCGGTACTACCCCCGCCCGAGCACGCTTAACTGCAGAGTTCTTATGGGATCTGCTGCCCTCACGGCTTTAAAACGCGTTGTGATAGGGAAGGTATCCACACCCCTTATAAGGAATGCTTAGTTCTCCTTCCCAGCCGATGTGGGTTCAGGTGAAGGTGGGTTGCACCTGAACCCACATCGGCTGGGAAGGAGAACTAAGCATTCCTTATAAGGGGTGTGGATACCTTCCCTATCACAACGCGTTTTAAAGCCGTGAGGGCAGCAGATCCCATAAGAACTCTGCAGTTAAGCGTGCTCGGGCGGGGGTAGTACCGGGATGGGTGACCCCCTGGGAAGTCCTCGTGCCGAGTGGCCCAAAGCGGACAATATTGTGATACGTGCCAGAGGGGGATGTTACACGTGGATGGATGACATTGAAGACGGTGAAATAGTCGGTGATGTGAATAGGAAAAGAAACGAATCGATGTGTCGTGGGGGTGACAGAGAAGAAGCCTCCTCCGATGATCCGAAAGCAGCATCAATCCCATCTCAAGCGTCTCCGGAGATCTTGGAATCCCAAAAGGCATATGTGCACTCCAATGAAGAGATAACAATTCCAATTCTCATTGATACTGAGTTAGTTAATGCTAATGAAGCACGTGGTGATAAGCCTAAAAAATCCGATCGGGGCACAGTTGACTTGGTCATACCTGTTGATTGTAAAGCAGACAATCCATTGTTGGGCTGCCTAAGGCCCACCTCGCCAACCTCCTTCCTTCCAGATTAGCCCAGTCAGGTTGCTTTGGACCTTTTCAATACAATAGGCATACCCTTTCCCCCATTTTTCAAACATCCCAAATGCAAGGTATCAACAATGGGATTTTGGTCTGTCCCCATTAAGATTTTTGAACTCCTGGCTGGTGAGGGATGATTTTGAGAAGGCATTCATATCCAAATGGAATAAATTCACCGAATTTGGTACTCCTGAATTATACCTAGCTGCTAAACTTAAGCATGTCAAGAAAGGACTGAAAAAATGGAGAGCATCTTCCCATCCTAAAGAGGAAGTTAAACTGTCTCGACTTAAGAAACTAGTGGATCATCTTGATATGGAGGTCGAGACAAGATAATTAACTGAGGACGAGATCAAGGCTAGGAGATCGGGGTTTAATTCAATAGTTACGTTGGAAAGACTCAAGGCTTTGGATCTTAGACAAAAATCTAGGATGAAGTTAGCAATTGATGGGGAGGAAAAAACGAGGTTTTTTCATGGATACATAAATAAAAACAATCGTAAGAGTATGATAGACAGTCTGCTGATCAATGGGGAATGGTGTACGGATCCAGTAGCCATAAAACAGGAGGTTTATTCAATTTTTTTCTAAAAACATCAAAGAAAAGTGCCCTATCAGACCGAAACTAAACAACCAACACTTCAAGAAAATTTCATGTGATGAAAGGCAACATCTGGAATCTCCTATTTCCCTGTATGAAATTAAGAATGCAATGTGGGCGTGCGGCAATGAAAAGGCACCTAGGCTTGATGGTTTCACGTTTAAATTCATCAAGAAATATTAAGAGGTTCTCTTGGGAGACATTGCAGGGGTTGTTAAATATTTCGAGAGATATGGGAATAGTGACTCGTCATGTATCTCTTCCTTCATCTTGTTATTTCCTAAAGTCAATGATCCCCTTCTAATTAGTGATTATAGACATATCAGTCTTATTGGCTATATCTATAAAATCATCTCAAAAATTCTTTCATTAAGATTGAAGAATGTCATGGGGATGTGCATTGATGAGGTGCAGTCAACTTGTATTGAAGGTTGGAATATATGGGAAGGGCCCCTGGTTGTAAATGAAATTCGTTCTTGGGCAAAAAAGAGTAGAAAGAAGATCCTTATTTTCAAGGTTGATTTCGATAAAGCCTTTGATTCATTAAACTGGGATTTCCTTGACTAAAATCTAGTGAACATGGGATTCAGGAGCAAAATGAGAATATGGTTGAAAGGAAGCCTTGTTTCCTCCAAGTCCTCAGTACTCATAAACGGTTTCCCAACTGAAGAGTTCTCGATATCTAAAGGCGTTAAACATGGGGATCCACTCTCCCCATTCGTGTTCATTACAACCATGGAGGGACTTACTGTAGTGAGGAAGTCAGCGTGTGAGCTTGGAATCTTTCATGGGATTAAGTTGCCAAATAGGGGGCCAATGCTTTCTCCTCTACTATACGCAGATGATGCCCTATGCTTCAGGGAGTGGTCGAAACAAAATATAAATAACATATCACGCATTTTACATTGCTTTCATGTTGCATCGGGGCTTAGAGTCAACCTCAATAAATCAAGAGTATTTGGAATTGGTGTTGACATGAAGGAGGTGACAAATTGGGCGAGATCTCTCGGCTATAAACCCTCCTCCCTCCCCTTTACCTATCTTGGAGTCCTGGTTGGTGCCAATATGAAGCTGAAGAAACATTGGAAATCGATCATTGACAGACTCAAAGAAAAACTTTCAAAGTGGAAATCCAAAAACCTATCCTTTGGCGGTAGACTGACCCTCATCTAATCAGTCTTAGGAAGCCTCCTAACTTATTATTTATCTTTATTTGTGGCTCCAGAGGGCGGTATTGAGGCACTCAAAAGGTTAAGGAACATAATCCTTTGGGGTTGATCAGATGAATGAAAGTTTATACATTGGATTCTGTGGGACAAGGTGACGGCTTCCAAAGATTTGGTTGGCCTTAACGTTGGCACAATAAAGGCTCTTAACATATCGCTCATTATGAAGTGGTGGTGGAAGCTTAGAACTAACCCTAGAGAATTATGGGTAGCGGTTATCAATAGTTTGCACAACCTCCGTTCCAAACCTGATGATTATTACTCAATGAAGACTTTACCTGGGGTATGGAACAATATCGTAGGTATAAAGAATGATGAAAAAAACATCCATGTCAGTTTAGTGACCTCCAAGCAACTAGGTCCCACTAGTGAAATTTGGAAATGTGGCTTAACATCAGATGGGCTCATAGACAGTGTGTTCCCTAAGGAAGAAACAGGATTATCGGTCCCCTACCATCAATTCTAATTTTCATTGGATAAGAAATACCATTCAAAGTCTCCTGTTTCATTTGGAGGGCGCAAACTGGCATAATTCCAACCGCAAATGAACTTTCAAAAATAGGAGTAATCTTGGAAACATTGACATGTCGAATGTGTGAGGAGATAGAAGAGTGTCCAGACCATACTCTTGTGGCGTGCTCTTATGTACGGTGAAAGCTGAAAGTTTTCATAAGGTAAATGACATTCTAGAGTCCGCTGCCAGGTGGAGGTTGTGTCCAAAAGAAGGATGATTTTTAGGACCATTTGTTACTGTGTGCAATGGTCTATTTGGAAAGCAAGGAATGATAGAGTTTTCAAGAAAATCTGGCTGCCACCAGATAAAGTCATAGATATTGTCAAATTTATGACCTTTCTTTAGGTGAAAAACATGGGTAAAATGGAGTTAACCTGGGAAAACTGGTCTCAATTCCCTTTTCTTAGTCTGTAACGTTAGTTTTTTTCGTTGTTTTTTGTGGTTCTGTGTTTTGCCACTCGTTTATATGGCTTGTATTGTCCTTCCCCTGTTACTTCTCCTTTTTATATTAATTTATTGGTCGATTCCAATAAAAATTAAATACTAACGAATCGTCACACGTTGCGCACGAATATAATTATTTAATTAAAATAATAACTTTTAGCATATTGCGATGATTTTCAGCTCTTTGGAGTATACATGGTGCACCTTGGAGAAGAAGGAACTTCTTGTAGAAGTGTTGGTTGCATTGGAGCTTGTAGATCTAGACTTTTTCACCTTGATCTATCTTCTAGAGGTATCAAGTTTGATTCTTGATAGCACATTTTTCAGATCTAGCTAGGTTTGGATGTTATGAGCTTTTGGTCATTTTAGTGCACAAAGTTTAGATCTTGAAAGTTTGTGACCTTGTTATGGATAAAGTTGGAAAATTTATCCATCTAAACATCATTATGATTCAGATCTGAAGGTTGGAGACTTGGACTTAATGGATTAAGTTGAAAAAGATGCACTTTTGGTCTCATTTGATGCTTAAAGGCTAGATCTTGGTGGTTTGGAGCATTCTAATGGATAAAGTAGGAAACTTTATCCATTATGGAGCTTTTAGGATCCATAAAAATGTAATCTTGAACCTTCTATACCTTCCATGAGAGTGTCATGATGTCTTAATGGATTGATAAGTTAAGTTTTAGCTTTTGAACCTTTTTCTAGACATGGAAAGTCATAAAGGTCGAAACTTTATGACTTAGAACGATGTTGTGGGACTAGATCTGAGTGTTGGATGAAAGGACTTAAGAGATTAAGGACAAAAGGTGGGAACTACATGTACTCGTATGGGGTCCCGATTCTGGTCGGTAAGTATGCCATGAGTACGAGACTCAGTCTGAAGTTCGACTTGTTGATTTTGACTTTCGTTGACCGTTGACTTTTGACCATGTTTGACCTTGGGCCAAACTTGAGGGTTTCTCCCTATTAACTAAAATTTTATCTGGTTTTGGTATTGATAGCTCGGGAATTCGGTGGGACAGCAGCTACGGATTCTTCCAGGAAGCTTTTGCAATCGAGGTGAGTCTCCTCATTATTTGTATGGCTGAAGGCAGCAATGCCGGTCCATTTGGTTATTGTAGGAAGACTCGAGGGTTATCCCTAGGCATTATGTATAAAAGACCAGGAGGCAGCTCCTGGCATACTGTATGCTATTATGTAATGTAGGAAGACCCTGGGGTTAGCCCTAGGCATTATGTACAAAAGACCAAGAGGTGGCTCCTGGCACACTATATGCTAATTGGCTAAGTAGATTAGTATGTATATTAGTTGTCTTTGTGATGCTTGCATGGAAGACCAGGAGATGGATCTTGGCACTTGTCTATAAGACCCAGGGGGTGGCCCCCGACTTGTAAAGAAAGACCATGAGGCGGCCCGTGGCATAATGGCAAGACTATGTGCGGCACATAACACCTTTATTGATTATGATATATATGTATGGCTCATGGTTATGTATGACATGTATGGTTCAGTTGATACGTATGGTATGTGTTATTTGGGGAACTCACTAAGCTTCGTGCTTACGATTTTAAGTTTTGGTTTCAGGTACCTCCAGTTTTCAAATAAAGGAGCTCGGTACGATCGCAGCGCATACACCTATGTTTTCTGCAATATGTGATTTTTGGGAATGAACTTTGATAAATATTTTCTTTGAAATGCTTTTCAATGTGTAAACCAAGTTACAAATGTTTTTAAGTTATATTAAAAATGAAATTTTTGTTCATGAATTTTAGGATGTTATATGTTGGTATCAGAGCCTTGGTTTAAGGGATTCGGGCATACTCTCAGATGTGCTTGAACTCAAAATGTGGTGAATTTTTTATAAAATAAAATTTTAATCAAAGAAAGGGGTATGATGCGTGCAATCAGTCGAGCTCAAGTAAGTGGTTCCCAAAATACTAATACATGTTTGTTATGTGATATGATATGATTATGTGATTCGCATGCTAGATTAGAGCTAAGGTTCTAGGAGAAATGCCTTTGTATGCTTATATGAGCTTGTGGATTTGCATGCTAGAACAGATCAGCCAGTGGTAGGATGGCCTGTTTAGGTCATTCCTGATTGTATGAGACTTTGAATTGCATGCTAGTACAGATTCCTAATTAGAGGATATAATGGTTTTATTGGAGTATGTTGGTTAGTTTTTCCATTATCCGAATGCTCCTTGC